AGAGAATTCTGGTTCGAACTGAAAGAGTCAACCTATCTTCTCCCAGTTGGCCAGTAAGTATTTATATTATTATTAAAACATGACTGAAAAGACCTATGTGCCCTTACTTAAGTTAAGAGCACATGTTTCAACRCAACATTACAGATCAGCAACATCAATCAAGGTATAAAGACAGAAATACCCCTACGCTAACATTTAGTTTCATGAAACCCACAGGTGGGGAAGTTTCAAAGTAACATAAGTTCCTTATTAACTAGTTCATAAAAAATGCCCCCTTTTTTATGAATAAAAGGTGCTTCTTTTTTGCTTGAATATTCATAAGTTCTCTACATGTTGTGATGAAATATGCTATCAGAAAAGGTTTAACATTGAAATTAAGGCTGCATGTGCCATTCCTTATTTTAAGGACTTATCGCCTTTTTGCAGTTAAACACTCATTGTTCATAGGGGCATTTTAACTGCAAAAAGGACATAAGTCCTAAAAATAAGGAGTGCCAAATGCGACTGAATACTACATGGTAGTATGGTACATACCTACCTTTTTTGTTGATCCAGGTGGAAGCAGTGCAAGGACATATGGTTCTACTTTCTGGTGTAGATCTGGTAGATGGAACGGTAAGTTTCCAATTACTGCTAATGCTTTGTATCTTTCAACCTGTATTTAATCACTATGAGAATTCTACTCTTGTAGCTTCAAACAAAACAAATTTATATACAGTTTGAACTTCTGCTACAAATATGTGCTTATATTGTTTACATTTTTCCTATTGTTTTGCTTGTTTTGATCAACAGCCTGTGCTTGATATCAAACCTTATCTACCATACTGTGACAGTGTGCAAGAAGCAACAGTACCGAAGTGGGTAACGGTATTTCCTCTTTATTTTGTTATATGTGTAATTTTGCATGCATGATATGTGTAAAATATCCTTAATGCAAACATAATAACAATTTTTTTTGACATTCTGGAAAGTAAAATTTATATCATGGATTTTTTTTTTATTTTAATAGAAAAAATACCACAAGATGATTCAGTTGGGCCCACAAGCCATAGTTTAGAATATACTTCATCAATAGGAGGAATGTCACCATGGCCTAACAACTACATTCTAACAATCTCAAAGTCTGGATTCTTTCCTGACAAGAACTCAAAACACTCAATCCTGATTCTCATTCTGTGCAGCATCGTCATCATACTATGAAGTAGCACTATACTATGAAGAAGAGAAGTCTTGAGCAATCTTTGATCAACTCCCAAGTCCCAATATCAAAGAAACCAGGCCCAGAAAATGCGCAGCCAAAGAATAAACAAAAACAACCCCTAGAAGGCAAAAAACTGAAAAGGAGGCTATATGTAGACAGATAAAAAAATTCACCAAATATTCCACCAAAAACTGTGAAACCAAAATTTAACAGTAGAAAAATATGTTGTGGATCACAACCAATCAATCCCAAACACACAACTTCTTTCTGTTGTCCTCTGTAATTAGAAAACTCTATTCAGTAGAAAAAAATATGGGAAAATATTTTCCTTTCCAGATGGATCTCTGATCATATTAAAAAAAAAAAAACATTTAAATCATCCTTGATTAAGGGTGTGCTCCCCTACACCCGCAGCCAATACCCCTCAACCACTCGTATAGAAATCGAGCTCAGAGCATTGTAGATGATTCCCAAAGAACACCATGCCCCTGTGACCTACTGCTCTGATACCATCTTTGATGAACTACATGTGATGTTGATGTATCTTATTAGTATAGTCCATGTTGTACATTATATTACTTGTATTCTTTATTCCTTTTTTCTATTTCAGCCTGTGTGGACATTCTTGTAATTGTACATGTTCTTTAATATAAAAGAGGTTCTTTGGAGTGGGGGTTCACTATTCTTGACACCCCTGAATGCTTTTGCTCTCTTTCTTGTTCGAACTGGTAGATTAACATGGTATTAGAGCATTTATTGGATCAACCTTTTCTAATAAGGGTTGAATTCTGTATTTCAGGTTAATTTATCTTTAACCTCACTAAAAGCAGTAATCCCATTGTCCTATTAGGATTTACCGCCATCTCTGTTGTGTGAATGAGATTAGGGATGTTTTGATCAACCCTAATTGTTGTCCAATTTGTTTTGCAAAACCAGCAGGAGAGATTTTATTACACCTCTCTTGGGATGTTTTGATTCTTCATCTCCTGCATTGTTCTCTCCTGGTTCAAAAAAACTTGTCCTCGAGTTTTGGAGAACTTGAGGATGGAAATTTGATGTACCTCAATGACAAAAGGAGTAATAATTCCCATAGCTACTTCAACATACGTGGACTGTAGTCTGTAGAGTAGATGTCACACACATAGCTATAAATGGACGTTGAAAGCAATGCATGTCTGAAATACTGCCTTCCATGACTTTCATTGTTAAATAATCAATAACATTAGCTTCTTGACCACTTACATGACCAATCAGCCTACCTTGTGGTGAATCTTCCCCTTGCTTATCACTATGAACTTTCATATCCAAAATCTCAACTGCAGAATTTGGAACTTTTCCTTCAATCTCTAGTTGAGAAATCTCCATCTCTATGTGTTCAGCTCCCCTTGGTTCTTCATCAAACTCTTGAACTTCTGCCATTATTGATGTTGGTGGGACTTGCACCATGTTAACTTGTAATTCTTGAATTGGTTCTAGTTGAACTTGTAAGGCAAAGTCATGACTTACTTCCTTGCTATCATCTACTACAACCAACACATTTTCATCATGCACCTGAATTTCTTCAACTTTCTCCACTTCTATCTCTTCTTGATCATTAACCTCAAGTTGACCATGGGTGTTGGAAGTTCCTTCCTTAACAATTCTAATCTTTTCTTAGCCCGCACCCTTTTGATCTTCAAAGTTTACAATTTCTATTGGTTGAAATTCTTCATTCACAACTTTAGCTCGAGGATGGGCATCGACATGTAAGAAATCATCTTCTTTATCTTCAACTTTGTACTTTCTTTTCATTGGCTTCAAATTCTTTGTTGTAACCAGCTGCTTCTTCTCTATCTTGAGAGCCAATTGAAAGGCATGATCTAAGTCATAAATCTGAATTGTAGACAATTCATTCTTGATATCATCCTTTAGTCCATTTGTAAAACAGACTAATTTGTGCCTTTCACTTTCTGTAATGTCACATCTATTATATAATTCATCAAACTTATGCATATATTGAACTATAGATAGCATACCTTGCTTGAGATTAGTCAACTCCACATATAAATCATCATGGAAATATTGTGGAACTCACTTTTCTTGCAAATACCTCTTCATCTCTACCCATGTGGTAATAGAATATTCACCTCTATTTTCTAGTTGTTGCTCAAGAGTTCTCCACCATACTTTAGCAATACCCACAAGTTTCATGCATGCAAATCTAAATCTTTGTTTTTCAGACATATCATGCCAATCGAAATAAGTCGGTATTTCTTTACCCCCTTCTCCTTCCCACAAAAAAATCCCTCTGTAACTTCTCAATTTTTTCTGCCGCCTTTGCTGGAATCTTGAGTCAAGAGAGGTAATAAGTCAGTAGGCTGGAGAGAACACTCCTAACTAAAACTGCTGCAGAAGTTTTAGACCCTATTGGAAGACCCAGATACAAAAATGGCAGTTTCCCTGACACTCAAACACCGTAGCAAACTGCTCTAGCTCCTCCCTCCCTATTTCCTCCACCCCAAACAAAGAGCTTTTAGCTAGATTCACTTTCAGTCCTGTGAGCATCTCAAGGTTAGCCAGAATAGCCCTAAGGTTCAGCATCTGGTCCACTGAAGCATCCAAGAAAATGAGTGTCGTCAGCATATTGAAGATGAGAAATACAAGGACCCTCATCACCCACTTTGAAGCCTTCAACCCAACACTGCTAGGAAGCCTTGACCATTAGCAGATTTAGCACTTCCATCACTAACACAAACAGCTGTGGGGAAATTGGGGCCTCTTGTCGAAGCCCTCTGGAGGCATGAAAAGAACTCCGAAGAGATCCCATTGCGAAGTAAAGAAAATGATACAGAGGATATACAAGCAAACATCCATATTCTCCATTTCTCCCCAAACCCCATGAGCCTTTGCATCTCTTCCAAGAAACACCACTCCACATGGGTGTAGGCCTTCTCAATGTCAATTTTTACACACCAGCCCCGGTCTCCCACAGTCTCCCACTCCTTAACCTGGAACAAATGCACTCACTGGCCACCAAAACTCCATCCAGAATTTGCCTCCCTTCAACGAAAGTCATTTGGGTTTCTCCCACCACCTCATAGATCACTCCCCTCAACCTTCTGGACAACGCCTTAGCCAAAAGTTTGTAAGGGCTGTTAATCAGGCTTATTGGCCTGAAATCTTTTATGTTCACTGCTCCATCTCTCTTTTGAATCAGTGTAAGGAAGGAAAGTGGCATTGATTCTCCTGTCAATTTCTTTTTTGCCACAGAATTCCTTGATCATTTGAAAGAAATCCTCTTCCAAAAAACTCCAGCCAGCCTTGACAAGATTGAATGTAAAGCATCTGGCCCTGGGGCTTTATCCCCATTTATCTTTTTTTAGAGCTTCTCTAACTTCAATCTTTATCTCTTTCTAGCCTGTTAACAGCAAAGTCGCTCAACTTTTTAGGCTCCAAGCTTCCTAGAGCCACCCATTTCCAGCCCCTCTCCCTGGATAGGTCCTTATAAAAAGCCATAACCTTACTTTGGATCCCTTCTCAAGTGTCCTCCATGTCCTCCCCTATCTCAATTCTCGTAATAGGATTTCTCCTCCTTCTGGCACTTGCAAAAGCATGGAAATATACTGAATTCCTGTCCCCCTCTCTTAACCAAATATCCGTCGACTTCTGCCTCCATCTTACTTCTTCCTTCAAAATAATTCTTTCCAATTCTCCCCTCAAACCTTCCCTCTCCAATTGTGCCTCCCTCATTAAAGCCCCTTCTTCTAGCCTATCCAGCCTTGCTATTCCTTCCAAAACCTCCTTTTCTTTTGCACTCCTTTGCCCCCAACACCTCTGACCTTCTAATTCTCAACTCTTCTTTCAAAAGTTGCAGTTTTCTCACCAGCTTGTGGCTGGCTAAACCCTCCACTTGCATATTTCTCCACTTTTCTTCTACCCATGCCAAGAAGTATGGTTCATGTAACCAAACATTCTCAAATCTGAAGGGCTTTACCCTGTTTACAGCAACAAAACTTCTCAACATAACAAGTCTATGATCCGACATGCTTTCTATGAACACCTCTTGCACCACCTAACCCACATACTCCTGTGAAGAAACTCCTTGATGTACCATTTTATTGTAGTCCTTATTGTATTGTTTTCTATTATTATTTTCACTTCAGCCCTGCAAGGGCCTCCTTGTAAATTCTCTAAATTGTGTTGCCCTAGAAGGGCCTCTTTGTTATTTTTGTAACTTTCACTTTCTATATAAAGGGCCCTTGGGGTAGGGTCAAAGCATCCATTCTTCATCCCAGAATTTTGTGTTCTGCTCTGGGTCTGTTGACAACTCCACCCAATCCCCTAAAAACAAGAATCTATCCAATCTTCTAAGAATTGCTGGCACTTGTCCGTTTAACCATGTGAATTTCCCCCCCCCCCCACAAAGGTGGGTCAATAATTTCACACCTGCTTATGACCTCCCTCGAACCTTCTCATCCCCACTCTTATCCTCGTGTTCCTACCCCCTTTCCATCTCTCCCCTTCTTCTTACCACATTGAAATCCCACCTATACACCAAGCCCTCGCTCCCCCCCCCCCCCCGAACCCTCTTAGCCTTTCCACCTCCTTCCAGAACTCGATCCTTTCCCCTTTTGAATTTGGCCCATAAACGTTTGTTACACCGCATAACCAGTCCCCATTTGCCTCC